TGATTGTGAATCCCGTTTGCAGTGTTTTCCCAAATTAATGCCTCGCTACTTCCCTCCTTTTAATAAAAGTTTCTTTTCTACACTCAAACTCTGTCCTTGCAAGTGGGGAAATATTGCCTTGGAGGCACCCAGGGTGGCGGGTAAATTTCTTAAGTTACTGGGTAAGGGCTTGAGCTGGTTCTGTGTTGTAGAGATGGAAAGAAACCCCTAGGTACTGAACCCAGCCCGGGTTGCTGCTGGCTCTCCTGGAAGAAGGGTTATATTCATAAGACAATGTTTTCAACTAATACTCTGCCTATTGTACATATATGGATTTATATCCTAGGCACTCATATGCTTTAAAAGGTTGACACTTATCTTCATGTTTGCTCTTTTGGACAGCACATTTTCTGAAAACTCTCATTGACTTGAGCAAAGTTAGGCCAACATGGAGCATTTTTAGAAGTCCTTTCCTAATAATATTGCATGTCTTGTGAATATTTTTGAACAACCCATAAATGCTTAACCCTCACAACAGCCCTGTTAGATAAGTAAGTATTGAACCCCATTAACAGATGGAAAGACTAAAGTACCAAAAGATTAAAGGACTTACCATGGTCAGTTGTGGAGCCAGAATATAATACCAGAATCCAGACATCCACTTCCATATTTTAACTTATTTTTTCCTTTCATTAGTATTTATTTTGGCTTATATTGGGTCTTGCTAACCTTTTTGTTGTGTTCTCAGCTAGAAAATTTGGCTTGCATCACAAACTTTCTGTAAGTTAGCATGACATTCACTAATCAAATTAATTTCTGCAACCCCTCTCCCCCCAGGTTATAATGTACTTTTGCATCCGAACAACAGAAGGTTGTTTCCCTTTAAAAGCAAAACTATTGCATACTGTAACATTTAATGTAAAGAAGCCAAGAGATGTCAGAACTCCAGCTGGTGATGGGAAGGAGGATCATCACTACAGTACAACTCCAGTTATGTGAATTTCCTTTATCCTCAAATCCTAGTTATCTGTACAGCCCTCAGATATGGATACCCATAGATTGTGTTTTGTGGTTGAATGTGGATCCAAATTTTATACCTAAAGCATTGCAAATCTGCAGATATATGCAGTTTATTGCTGAAGATTAGATACAGAAACAGAATTTGCAGGGCTCTAATTATCTATCTGAATCCAATGTGTTGCCTTTCAGCATTATGAGTGCTAAATGCCTGGTTATGTTTCCACTTTCTCACCAGTATATTTGGATAAACAGAAATTTACTGTATTAGGATTGCAGTCTAGCGCTCCTCCAGCAACAGGCCAGACTGGCAGGCCTCTCTACCACTTGTGATTCAACATAACCACCCATCATCTGTTATCTTTGCTGCTGTGCTGCCACTAGTAGATGTGCCAGAATTTGAGAGAGAGAGAGTGCTATTGCTGCCAGTTGATGTTCATCATGAAATGTCCCTTAGAACTGGCTGCAATGAAAAAGAGAGGCAAGCTGCCCACCTTTGCCTACAGCCTTCACTAGCTGATTTTCTAGAATATATCTCCAGTTGCCAGCAACTCAATCTTTTTCCCATCTCGGGATGATGGATAGCTCCAGGAGTCAGAAGTCACTCGCAGAGGGGAGCAAGCTTTGTAGTAAATCACTGCATCACCATGATGGGAACTTGGGTTCAGTTCCTGGGCTTCACTGCTTACTTCCTAAGGCCTACATCCTGCAATCATTTACACATGTGCTTAACTTTCAGCAAATGAGTAGGCCTACTGAATTTGATAACTTTACTCACAAGAGTAATTCTAAGCATGTGCTTAAATGTTTGCAGGATCAAGGCCTACGTCTGCAGGAACTGATGATGTCACTCTTCTTTGAAACAAGAAAGACAGTCTTGTATTAACCACCACTAACTCCTCTGGACAATACAGGAGTGACATTCAAAATGAATCCTCTTCAGCCAGGGGATGGCAGCTTGCAGAGCTGCTTCTTGAAGGGGTGACATGATTAAAGTGTCTGTTTAAGGTTTCACAAGGAGATAGAGGAAGCCTTTGTTGTGTTGCTAATCAGTTTGTGGGCTCTACTATTCATCTACTTATGTTGCCCCTAAAACAATTAGCCTCTACTCTATACATTATAAACATTACCCAGCTCAGAGATAGAACCCAGAAACATAGGTAAAGTCACTGTAGTGAAGTCACTACTTCAGCAGCAATCTTGGGAATCTTACTTGCAGACTTGAAACCTAGATGGTCACCTGTTCTATCCTTTCCCTCTGAAGCACCTGGCACCAGCCACTGTTGGAAGACAGGATACAGGGATAGATGAACCTTTGGTCAGACACAGAATGGCTGTGCTTACATTCTGTTTCCCTTTCTTATCCAAGGGGAAAATAAAATTGCAATTCCTTTTTCCTGCCTCCTCCCAGCTAAGCTGGATCAGACAACCTAACTTAGTGTCCTCATAGCCCTGCAGCTGTCCTAACCATCCAGCTCTCTGCAACAGTCTGGCTGATCTACAGCACACTATCCACTGAGTGAGAATTTGGTCCATAATCTAATAAGATTACACCTGACATTACACACAGTAAAATAGCTACCCCTGTGGCAGCAGAGATATGCACTGAGAACTACTGCTGCTAGTGAAAGGCCTAACAAAGAACCAAAAAGTCTGCCACTGACCACTAAAAATGTTGCTTTAAGGAAATTAAAAACATGAACATTGTGGCAAACACAATAAATGTCTTCTTTGTAACTGGCACCCTTAAAAAAAAACCAAATGAGTTTTCAATCATCTGCAGATGTAACTACTTGTGAATAGTTACAACAATTGAAAAAAATACACTTCGGTCCAAGTCATGCAATTTTATTTATGTGAATGGTTTCAAATATTTAGTAATACTCACAAGGGCAAAAAGTTACACACAGACATGTTAGCTGACAGGTTGCAGAATCAGGACTTTAGAGACAATTTCTGGATAGGTCTCCGCTGCAAAGTTAAGGTGTTATTCTATCAAAGGTAATTCTGGGCTGACTTTAAACTAGCACAGGTAACAATAAGAGAGGGTCGAGTGGAGGGCAACCAAAATGATTAGGGGGCTGAAGCACATGACCTACAAAGAGAGGCTGAGGGATTTGGGTTTATTTAATCTGCAGAAGAGAAGAGTGTGGAGGTATTTGATAGCAGACTTCAGTTTCCTGAAGGGAGATTCTAAAGTGGATGAAGAGAGGCTGTTCTCAGTGACTGGATGGCAGAACAAGGAGCAGTGATCTCAAGTTACAGTAGGTGAGGTCGAGGTTGGATATTAGGAAAATCTATTTCACTAGCAGGGTGGTGAAGTACTGGAACGGATTACTTAGGGAGGTGGTGGAATCTCCATCCCTAGAGTTGTTTAAGTCTCAGCTTGACAAAGCCCTGGCTGCAATGATTTAGTTGGGATTGGTCCTGCTTTGGGCAGGGGGCTGGATTCAATGACCTCCTGAGGTCTCTTCAAGCCCTGGGGTTCTATAAGAGTATAGACATGGTGACACAAGCTGGCAGCCATAGTGAGCATCCAGGGTATCTAGCGAGCTCATGCTTGGATTGCTAGCCTGTGTCACTTCATCTTTGCTACTATTGTTTCCTGTGGTAACTGGTTTAAAGCTAGCATGAGTGTGCCTACCTGTGCTACAATTACACTTTTGTGGTAAAGACATACACAACAAGTGTCCCCTGTAAGCTGTGTGCTCAGGTGGCCACCCAGGAGAGATTCAAATGTCACCCAGCTGATTAGCAGAGTGACACAGCATGTATTTCCATTGGTGGTACACATCTGCATATGCCTCAGTATACATAACAAAATTTATTCCATGCAAATGAAAACACTTAGCGGGAACATTGCACATAACATGCCAGAATATAGGGAGACATTCAATTTAGTTCTATGTCCAACTTCTATCCCTCCGTTACTAATAACTTCTTAGTTTAGGAGGTGAAAGAATTTTTAGAGTCCTATTTACTGGTCAGTCTTTGTGCTCCTTGTTTACTCTTTGCATTTCATTCAGTTTGAATAATAATGAAATAACTTTTGTTTATAGACAGTTTCTCTTTTGGGTTTTGTGTTAATGTTCCAGGGAAATACTTCTGTTCAAAAACAATTAATCAGTCATGCAACTATTTCTCTTGTTCTTAGATTTCATTTCAATACATAATTGGTGTTTCTTTAAATATTATTCAACCTCAACTTAAAATCACAGATTTGTGAACGTACTATTGTTACAGATAATGTCTCAGAGAAAAACAGAAAAATACTTTCCTTGAAAAGATCTGTTTACACTATACATTTGATAACCCCATGGCAAATAGACAGCCCCCCCTGCTTTAGGTGCGTTTTCACACTGCAGCAGGGGAAAGAAAATAATGGGAAAAATAAGGAAACGTGGAGGGCAAGTCAGGAAAATGAGCGGGAGCAAACTAAGAAGCAGGTGAAATTCACAGAACTACTTTTAATTCACTTTATTCAAATTAGGTGTTAGGTTGACACGGTCCATTGAAATGGTTTGATCAGAAAGAAAATAGTGTGGGACAAGGTTTAGGTCAGAGCCCTCTGGAGTTAGGCAGGGGCTGAGAGAGATGCAATGTGCTAGGACCTAATGGCACACACCTGCTAGGGGCTGTGGCGGCAGCAGCCTCATTTGTGCTGAGCTGCTCTTGCGTGTGGTTCCCCCCCCTCTCAGTTGGCGAACAAGCCATGCGAGGATACAGTGACCGAAGGCGAAACTCACGGGCCTGGCTGGCTCCCTCTCATCTCGCAAGCTGCGCCTGCTGCAGCCGGCCTGACTAGAGCCCCGGAGACGGCGCTTGCAGGCCCTCCGGCGCAGCTCCAGTTCAGACACCAATGGGACGTGGGCTTCCCACAGAGCCTAAGGCGCCTGGTCTCCTCCCCTCGCCCCCTGTGGAAGGCGGGGGGCGCCTCCCTCGAGCTAGGGGCAGAATAAAATCACGCCCAACGCCGGGGGACAGGCTCCTCCGGCTGCTCTTACCTGCTCGGACGTGGGAAGTGACTCTCAGAGCCCGGAGCCGGACTGTGCTACCTCGGCCCCCTCCTGCCGGGCGCCGCAGCCCCGGGGCGCGCCGCCCAGCTCTCTCCCTGCAGGGCAGCCGCCGTGGCCCCGTGGCAGGGGGCAGCTCGCGCGCTCCGAGCCAAAGGCTTCGCTGAAGGGGGCGGGGAAATCGGCTCTCGCGCCGCTCCCCTGCCAGCCCCTGCCACTTAGTACGCTCTCCCCGCCCCAGGCAGGAGGGAGACTCGGCAGAGCCGCGGTCCCGTGCAATGGGCAGGGGGAGGGTCGCTTGAAGCAGCACGAGCCAGCGGCACGGCTCGCTGTTTTGTTCGCTCCCCGTGTTGGTCCAGCTCCCCCTCCCCCCCCGCCGCACCACCCCCGCGTTGTTCCTGCCCAAGCTCTGATGGAGCACACGGCACATCCATGTCTAGCCTCGTAAAGCTGGTCGCCGCACTCTCCCCACAGCGCTTCTGGAGTGGCGGTGGGGGGACGCTACAGACTTGCAGGAGGAGGAAAAAAAAGGGCCCCTCGCCTCACCAGCAAGTCGCTCCTGTGCCGGGATGCCGGGCTGGAGGAAGAATCTGACCCTGTGTCTGCAGAGGATGCAGGAGGACGGTAAGGGCTGGCTCCGGAACCCGTGCGGCGGGCAGGCAGCTATTGCACTGGGCTGGGAAACTGCCCTGGAGCTTTGCAAGGGGGTGCGCAGAGGGGTGGGTGTTTCTGTCTCCGGAGGAATGCTTGGAACCGCAACCTCTCTTCTGAGGCCCCTGTTTAAACAGCCCGGTTACAGACAGTTGTTCTGGTAGGGATTCCTGCGCCCAGAGAATACAAATTGCTTTGAACCCTGTTTGATTCGCTGTTCGCAAAGAACAGCGGCATAAATCAAACGGCGGAGGCTGGAGGGGGTGTGTACCGAATGCAAATAAACTTTAAAGCAGCACATCTGTCCCCCATCGCCAGTCTGGGTGTAAGATTGTTGGAGGTGCAAATTTGTTATTTTTTCTAGTGTGGGAAGAAAATATGAGAAAACGGGAAACTTGGGAGTATTTTTGGCAGTAGAATAGCATGCAGCATCTCGGATGTAACTTTCCAAAGCTGCTGCTGCCAAATGACAATTGTTCTCCGTGCTTAACTTCCAACATGGATTTGAGCCTTGTGAATTTCACTGTGGTCCTGTAGGCTTTCTACAACCCATATCTTTTGTTCTGTTATAGCATCTTGGAATTATGTATACGTGTTCTTCAGTGTGATGTTAAATTAATGTTGGAGCTATAGCTCATAAAAGTTGGAAGGAAACTCCCACAAGGTGGCAGAGCCCAAAGAATGTTTAAAATCTTGCACACTAGTTTATTTTGGTTCATAGGGAGTATGTATGGCTGAGGATGGTAGTGGTGAGGATAGTACCTGTGTCAGAAATAAGAGTATAATTCTGTCTTGATCCCATGACTGGTTTTAGTGAGTTAACCTGAGACAAGCTTTTAGGATCATAAATAAGCAGGAATTCCTTTTCTGGTTGCCTTTCAGCTTCTCCTTTCATTGCAGTCTCACAGCTTCTTTGCTACAGTTGGTTAGCAGTGAGTTGTGTTGCAATGCCCTGCAGGGCTTGATTTAAAGCATTACAGTTGCACCAAATGAGTAATCAAAGACTTTTGAACCTTGTTGGTTACCAGACAGAGAAACAAATTTCACTGTTGTTTGTTTTATGAAGTGTCAATGTGAGTAATTATACTGATATATTTAGAGTGTCTTTTTTCTGTTGTAAGGTATCTCATTCTTGCACTCTGTTTCAAGGTAACAGCATGTTGTTTTTAATCACTTGGTTCCACTGCTTCCACTTGGACTCCAGGCTCATTCAACTGAGAACTTAAATTCTGTTGAAAATCAGATTTTATTCTATTTAAAAACATCTTTTTCAACAAATGTATAGTGTCTTCAAACTAATCCTTTAAGGCAGTCATTCTGGGGTGCAATGCTATGTAATGCTTGCCTGCATATGGGTGACTTTGCACCAGGGAAGGGTTGGAGTCTTATAATTCTTAAACAGTATTTACAGTACTAAGCTTCTGAAATATTTGCTGTATTGTTTAAACATGACTGGGTTTTTTACTTTCTATGACTTTAATAGCTATTTAATGGTCTTTCCCTCTTGTGCCTTCCGAATTGATTACCCCCTCAATTAATGCTTGCCTGCATATGGGTGACTTTGCACCAGGGAAGGGTTGGAGTCTTATAATTCTTAAACAGTATTTACAGTACTAAGCTTCTGAAATATTTGCTGTATTGTTTAAACATGACTGGGTTTTTTACTTTCTATGACTTTAATAGCTATTTAATGGTCTTTCCCTCTTGTGCCTTCCGAATTGATTACCCCCTCAATTTGCACAGAAGTAGTTTTCTTACTTTAAGTATGCTGGTATATTACATACATTCGTGTACAGTCTGTTTACCAAATTCTCTTGTAACCATGTCCTTATTTCCTTGCACTGCTCAAGATCCGTTTGCCTTTGGAAGTTACCACATAACTACTGCCTGATGAACCATCTGAAGAAAGAAAATCTTGCAGCATAGGCTGGTTTAATATTTAGAGGACAAGTCATGTGTATAGCAATGGGCACATAGAGAAAAGCTTTTCTTTTTTCTTTCTTTTCTTTTTTTTCTTTTCATTTTTCTTTTCCTTTCAGTTGGAGACTCTCTGTTTTCCCTCTGTTGGGAAACAGATATAAGCCTTGTTAATATTTTGTAGTACTAATATTTTAAGACACACTACAATGTATAATGAGCTCCAAAGAAAGTTTCACATTTTGTCTTGTATATCAGCACCCAGAAATCTCAACAGGATTTTTTCAGATGGGAGTTTGGCTTGACAAAAACCAATCATTCTATTAATATTCTTTTCCAGTTATCTTTTTTAAAACAAATTATCTCTGCCTGTTGTCTAATAATAGCTCAATTGTTTCAGTTCAGCCATCCAACAGCTAGGAGTGACAGCATTGCAGAAGAAACATACTCTTAGCATGCAGTGTGTAAATCTTGTATATAGACTGTAACTCTGAGTTTCCAAAGTAAATGTTCTGTTAGTTATCTGAAGGAGTATAATTAAGCCTATGAAAGTGAATGATATGTTTTGGGTTACTCCATGTTCCTGCAATGGGCATTACTTGCTTTTTGCAGCCATTCTACCTAACAGTGGGAGTGTCATTAATTGAGGACAGTCTTCAAAAGGTCAAGTGCACTAAGTAACATGGTTAAAATACATAACATTCATATGGCCTGTACTGAAATATGGCATGTATTCATTTGTTTTAAAGTAAAAGCCAACTAAGAGTATGTTCTTTAGACTTTTTACAGCAGAACAAGAGTATATAGTTTGGCATGTATGAGCCCATGAGACAGCACAAAACTACAATGATCATGAGAAAATTCTCATTCATTCTCCATCTCAAAAAGGAATTTGGTTTGTACAGTTGGTGATTTACTTTAATTCTGAGGAAGAATTGACATTAAAGACTTAAACAAAAGTTAAATATTTCCAGTAACAGTCCATGTTACCCCCTACCTGTCCCTCCCACCCCTGCACCACACTGTGTAAACAGCCTTGTTCAGTCTAAGTAAAGGGCCAGTTCCTGTAAGTAGGTCCTTATACACATGAATAGGTTAATCCGTACTGTTAGGGACCATATCCACAGTACACTGAAGTCCAGTGGAAAGACTCCTATTAAATTCAGTGGCTTTGGGTTAGCTTGCATATGAACTGCTCAGCTGACTGTTTGCTGGATTTGGCTTCAAGACTGGAAATTCCCTGATAAGGCAGGCAGACAAACAAATGTACCTTGCTGGCATGCTTTATAATCATGTCCTTAATTACATGCTTTGTTCTTACTTAATAATCATGTCCTTAATTACACTATCAAACAGCAAGATACAGTTCCCTTATTATAGTTTATTATGTTGGATTATTTGCAAAAGAGTACCACATAAATTATGAATTAATAAAGGTTGGAGCAATGTCGTGGGTCACTGAGTTCCTAACAATCAAAATTTCTCAAGAACAACAGAATGAAATATATTGTGTTTCATTTTACTTATCACTGGTTAGTTTTCAGGCATCTTTTCCAGTCCAGTTGGAGAGTGGCTTGTGAATGAAGCCCGTGTGAAGACATCAGGTTATGGTTCACAATGCCTGTAAGCAGGATTTAATGCCCTGATGCTGCAGTTCATAATGGGATTTTAATTTATGTGCTGTAGAGCTGAGCCCTCATTGATGGTTTTCTCAGGATGTTAGCAGTGGAAAAACTAAAAACCAAATTCTGCTTTCAGGGTTGTGCATTTACATGGGTGGGTGAGAGAGTTCCCATTTATTTTAGTATATGTAAGTAAGCAAGGGCAGAGTGTGGCATGAAGACATAGGACTAAGTCTTATCTAATGAACAAGAGAATAAGACATAAAGGGGTCGCCGTGTTAGTCTACATCTACAAAAAGAACAAGGATCCCTGTGGCACCTTAGACAAACAGATTTATTAGGGCATAAGCTTTTGTGGGTAAAATACACTTCATCAGATGAATTGGAGTCCCTCCCACCCCCAATTGATCCAATTAAGTGAGTTTATGCCCTAATAAATCTGTTTATCTAAGGTGCCACAGGACTCATTTTTTTTAAGAGAATAAGTTTTTTTTTGTTATAGAATCATAGAACACTAGAACTGGAAAGGACCTCGAGAGGTCATCAAGTCCAGTCCCCTTCAGGACCCTCATGGCAGGACCCAGTACTGTCTAGACCATCCCTGATAGATGTTTATCTAACTTCCTCTTAAATATCTCCAGAGATGGAGATTCCACAATCTCCCTAGGCAATTTATTCCAGTGTTTAACCACCTGACAGTTAGCAAGTTTTCCCAATGTCCAGCCTAAACCTCCCTTGCTGCAATTTAAGCCCGTTGCTTCTTGTCCTATCTTCAGAGGCCATGAAGAACAATTTTTCTTCCTCCTCCTTGTGACCTACTTTTAGATACCTGAAAACCACTATCATGTCCCCTCTCACTCTTCTCCTTTCCAAGCTAAACAAGCTCCATTCTTTCAGTCTTCCTTCATAGGTCATTTTCTCTAAACCTTTAATCATTCTTGTTGCTCTTCTCTGGACCTTCTCTAATTTCTCCACATCTTTCTTGAAATGTGGTGCTCAGAATTGGACACGCATCTGACGAAGTGGGTCTTTGCCCATGAAAGCTTATGCTCCTACACTTCAGTTAGTCTATAAGGTGCCACAGGACTCCTCGTCGCTTTTGCAGATTCAGACTAACACGGCTACCCCTCTGATATCTTTTTCCATCAGCATTTTAATCTCCTGTGAACAGTAAGATGCAGCCTTAGCCTTTGTTGTAGCAAGTATGAGTAGTATAACATCTATATCTATCTATGTAGCCACTTTTA